ATTATATTTTAGATTTTTTATATTTAAAATGAAATGTTTATCCAATATTTGATTATGTTTATCTATAGTTAGTTACACAAATTCAAGTATGAAGTTTCAATATGTTGTACTTATGTATTATTTACTTGCAATATTAAATTTTAAGTAATATGTATCAATAAACAATACTTCATGTATAAAAAATGGTTTTTAAGAGTTTTTATCAAATGCTTTATAATACAGTATAAATATATTATATAATTTTTGTGACATAATCATTTCAGTTTTTTATAATATATATAGAGTGGATTACAAAGTTAGTGTATGTGATTTATATGTTTTAAAAGGTCTCTGTATTAAAATATCTATAGATTATATCCCTATGGTTTACAATTTATAATGCATTGGTTCATTTTTCATTAACTCCATTTGGATTTTTCTATTAAGTATGTTAATTAGGAGGGCATTTTGATCATTTAATAATTAGGACCAAACATGTAATTTACTCTCTAAGTATTGTGTATATATATATATATATATATATATGTATGTATATATACGTACATACGTATGTATGTATGAGTAGGTTCAAATGAAAACCACAACTTTATATATATATATATATATATATATATATATATATATATATATATATAGGGGCAGATTCAAATGAAAACCATGCAATTCTAAAAAACCGTGTAAACCAAAATCAACCAATAGGAAAATTCCATTATTTTTTAATTAAATTTAATCAATAAGGATATTTCGGTCATTTTCATTATTTTTTTGATAAATAAGAAAGTCATTAAGGAATATTAAATAAGGAAATTTAATAATGGAAATTATATAAATGGTAAGATTTAAAGATTTTAATATATTATAATATTAAAAAATGATTTTTTTTTGTTATTCAATGAATCTGGAAAGTTTTATGAAGATTCTAGCTTGTTATGGAATGAATTCTTGATTTGAGGTTGGAGGAAAAAAAATCAATGGTCATGAAACTGTTTCAATCTGAAAATGTTTCATTGTACAATGGTATATTTGCTACGTCTATGCATATTTTACATTTAATGAAATAGGTGCTTTGTGATTGAAGTTTCATGGTGATCCATGTTGCTTTGTGATTTAATGTACATCTAGTTTCATGGTGATCCATGTTTCTTTGTGTGTGAAGTTGATCCGTTTAATTGGTAGGATAAAACGGGTGCATAATATATTAATGTTCATATGAAAAGGTTTCATTATGATGAAACAGTGCATAATATATTAATATTCATAATGAAAATGTTTCATTATGATGAAACGAGTGCATAATATATTTTGTTCTTTATGGCATTAATGTTCATATGAGAAGATTTCATTATAAAATGGTTTATTTGCTTCTTCTATTCATATTGTACATGTTCATGCACTCGTTTCATGATGGTGAAACATATTCATTTAGTTGCATTGTGTGTGATGAGGATCCGTTTAGTCGGAAGCATGACAATTAAACGAGTTCATGTGCGATTGGTTAATGATTGTTGAACTCGTTTCGTGGCCAACCACGTTGCAGGATTACGTAGGGGGTCCGTTCAGTGGATGTAACGTGTTAATGACAATGAAACGGGTTCATAATGTAATTGAACAGTAAGTCATGAACCTCTGTAAGGCATGAACAATGATGGTTTAGGTGAATGATTAAGTATATGAAATGCTAAATGAAACTGGTGCATAGAAAAATCGATTCATCATAGCAAAAAATGAGTAAGGTTCATTATCAAATGAAGATAATGAAACTAGATATTGCGTAGTCATAAAATTTAATAAGCTCATTAAACAATGAAAATTTTTCATTAACTAAGAAGGAGTTACAAAATGTTAACTTTGTTTACCAATTTTGCCCTTAGTATTGAAATAAAATAAATTTTTAATATTTTTTAATTTTTAATTTCCTAAAATAAAGTAAACTAATCTTAGCCATTGATCAAGAAAATGGATGGATGAGATTGGTTTACACAGTTTACACAAATGGGGCAAATTTTTATTTGAACGCTCCCCTCTCTCTCTCTCTATATATATATATAAGGGTAGGTTCAAATGAAAACCACAATTTTTTTTTGTAAACATAAAGACAAATCTTGGCCATTGATCAAAATTTAAAAAACTAATCAATGATTAAAACATTATAAGGTTAATTGAAAAAACGATTTGAGACAAAAATG